TACCAGATCTTTGCAACAACAGTATTGAAAGGAACAGTGTTTTATTTTGGTTTTCCCATGTCAATTTTTAAATAAAGATATTTCTGGATTATTGGTTCTGCTAGACTTTCCCAGGAAAATTCAGTTGTTTTTACAGTAATTCTTTGCATTAACAACAGAATGGGCTTAACATAATTTTTATCTAATTTGAGAACAAATTGACATCACTCCTGGTAAATCAGTGGCACGCTGGCATGATGAGCAGGCAGCCCTTTGCCCTTAAGATTTGTGTGAGCGGGGGTTGGGCGTCCGGTGTCTGTTAACAGTGTGCAAACACTACAGCTTGTATCTGAGCGGGTGAGCTCCAGCTGCCTGAGTTCTGCATGTTTGCAAGTAGTAATAACCCAAGCAGACATGAGATAGTAGAGACACCTGATTTTTTATGTCATAAAATGCATGTTTGCCATCAGTCTTGCTTTTGTGGTTCTAAAGTGACAAGGAATGAATTTTTTTGCCCTGCTAGAGGTAGCAAATGTGACTCTTGAACAGCCTTGTGTGTTGTCTGTACAGCTTTTTGGTTGTAGCTGGGCTTAAGGGTGAGGTGGTGCTACAATGTGCTGATTGCGAGCTTTCTACTTTCTGCTGTGGATAATGCTACTTTTCCTGGCTGTATGAAATTGACAAAAAGCTTTGGAAAGGATTGGCAGAGGCTGAGACCTTGGCCACTCTTTGAGGGCCCCTGGCCCTCTGGGGCTGAAATTAGGGACATTTAAATACTAACATGCTACACAAATAATGAGTACACATAATTACACAGTAAGAGAAGGGAGTTATTAACTGTATTTGAATTTCATTTGCTTCCTATAAATGTCATCTCAGATCAGCAAGCCCTTTGGCCAGCAAAACCCTCTGGACTAGATTTAAGGGAACCTGCATCTATTTACTTTGAATCGTACTCTGGGCAGTACTTGCGATGGCTAGCCTACTACTTGCCAGTCACTGTTCTAATACTTTAGCTGTATTTTACTTATTTAATCTTAAGAACACACCATTTTACAGATGAGGAAACTATCTACTAGGAGTGGATTAGCAATTTGCCTACCCAGCTATTACGTAGCAGAGTCAGGATAGAAACTCAGGCTTTCTGGATTAGAACTCCAGAATGCTTTTAGCCACCACTTAGATAAATAGAAGTACTTGTAGATCCCTCCTAAAGACAGGATTCTAAAAATAAGAATTTGTAGGAAGGTTTTTTTTTAAGTAACAATTTCTTCTGAAGGAGATGAAATTTTGCATTGGGAAAGAAACTTTGGAAGGGTGTGGTATTTTTATTTGTGTGAGCATGTTTCTGGGCTTTGCTGTGGCTTGCAATTGAATTGACAGCACAAGGGAATCAAAATTTACAGTCCTCATTGGCTCCCCTTCTCTCATTATTTCTTTCTGTTAATTCACCTCGTATTTTTAATACTTTGTTGAGCCAGAAGGCTGGAAATCATAGGAGGGGCCCATGCACTTTCAGGCAAAAGCTATCAATTTGTAGCCAAGTGGAAGCGCAGATATAGGACATTACCCAGGTATGGTGGATTCTCCCTCCTCTCCCCAACCCCAAAAGCATTTTTTAAACTCCCTTCAGAATCTTTTATTCTTTCTCAGAGATTCCTGATATCTGTGGAATGGAATGCGGGCCCAACTCCTGCAAATTCATTGTTCACAAAATGTATTCACAAAAGCCATAAAAATGACTTGTGACTAAAAGTCAAAAAACTCAGGGCACGTGATCTGATTAATGTAGTTTTTTTATGGAGCTGTATTTGAAATGAGTGTCCTGGATGTATGGTTACCTTCCCTTTACAAAGGGGACACTTTTCCTGTCTGTTTTGGCCTGAGGCTTTCAGGTCTAGCTATTCTAAAGTTGGCCCCTACTTCAACAGGAAAGAATATTTTTTTTTTCTTCTGAATAAAGTGGCCTACCCTTCTGCCTCACCCAAAGTGCTACTGTGGAAGTGCTGGTCTCAGCTCTGCAGGCTGTAGGGGGAGGACCAGCTCAGGCTGCTCTTCAAGGCAGCGGCTGCAGGTTGGATAGTAAGTTGTTTTCTCTAACACTTTGCCGCTCCTGTGTCCTCTGATGTGTGAGACACACTCCATGGGAAAGAAAGCCGGGTGAAATGAAGGGCTGATTACACTTTGTTGAAAACAACTTGTTTGTTGTTTGCTTAAAAAAATAAAGCTACATCTGTCCTGGAAGGAGGTAGAGTTGAGAAGGCTTGCTGTTTTTCTTCTCAGCTGTGCTGCATTCTGACAGCACAAGTAGTGTAGGTGGGGCATTTCTCAATTGAATTTTAATTTATTCAATATTGCAGTGTATAGGTGGAGGCATTGTGGATAATAGAAACTGAACTCGAGTTGCTTATTTTGGCGGTGGAGTTCTAATACCTTATTTCATCCCATCTAAGATGTCGTTGAGTGATGTATCATTATTTTATGTAGCAGTAAGAAGGAACAAAAGAATGCTTCTGGTAATTTTGGGAGTGTGAGCCATCTAAATTGTGAGATGCATGTGCTAACAGGAGAAAAATACGCGCAACTTAAAATTTGTGAAGTGAGATAAAATGCTGTAGGATAAATGCTTTAAAAATCAAACGAGTGTGGGTGAGTGTAGGAGGCCAGCGGGGAGGCAGGTGAGCTACCAGAAAAACTGCATTGAAGAAGTTGCATTCCCTTGAGCCTTGCAAAGGCTGCCTTGCAACATGCTGGAGCTTTTCTGAGCAAGGCCTGGGGTTGGGAAAGGCCGTGTTGGTGGCAGGGGTGGCCTCCAGCAAATAAATATTTGACTGTAGTGTCAACGTCAGAGTCTAGTGGGACAGATGGCTACAATGACAGGTTTCTGTGGCCAAGCCACTTGTACTTGTGTGGCACCAGTGGAGTGATGTGCAAAATTAGGAATTGCTAGAGCAGGAAGGGTCTTTTTAGAAGTATATAGGTCAAACTCATCATTTTACAGATGAGGAATTTTGAGCCTTGATGAGAAGCTTAACTGGAAGGAATGGATCATGCTGAAGACTGATTGGAACCAGAAATCCAATTTAAGTGTCAGTGAGGCGCCACGCTTCCTAGTAGGGAGGGCTGCTTGGACACTGCATCTCCTGGAGCGTTAAGAATGGAGGTGCCTGCGGAGGTTAATGTGCTCCTCTCTCGGTCACTTTGTGCTTCACACCCACTGCCCCTCCAGTTCTCTTGGCCTGCCTCCTTTGTCAGCTCTGTGAACTGGGCAGGGTTTCCCCGCTTACCTCATCATTCGCACCGAATCTTGGGCTGCTTCAGTAGGAGGGCACACCGCACAGGTAGTGTCACCTGGGAGGCCAGTCCACACATAGGGCAGAGGTGGGACGTGGGGGTTTGTGGTGTCTGAGCTTGAGTCAGGTCTGTTTGCTGCAGCCTTTTCCTGCTTCCTCCGGTTCTTATGGAAGCTCAGCTTCAAGCGGTATGGAAGTCAAGTGCATGAAAATCTATTAGAATCGGGGATTTCTTTATTTTTTTCTTTCTTTGAGATGAGGTCTTACTATGTTTCTCAATCTAGGCTCAAACTCCTGGGTTCTAGTGATCTTCCTGACTTGGGATGCACTACTGCACCTGGCTTGGGATTTTTTTAAGGCTTTAGTGCCTTCTATAAAGGTCTCTATCTCTAGCCTGCCTCTCCCTTTGTACATTGAATTAATCACTGGACACCACTCTTCCCTCATGACATCACTCTGAAAATTATCCCTCCTTTCTTCATCATTAACTCCTGTTTACTGGATCATTCCCATCACTATATAAGACACATCTTTATTTCTCCCTTAATAAACTCTCCCTTGATCTTACATGTCTTGCTGCTCTATCAGTTTCTCAC